GTTTCTCAAACAACTGAAATGCGAATATGAGACAATTGATTAATTTCTCAGTTAATGCGATGAAATGCGAATGAACTCAAAGACGGATGGATGCAAGATGCGAAGAATTTGAATGAAAATGCGAAGTTTTTAATGTATAAATGCGAATTGGGGAAGAAAGCTTAGAGTTTCGCATTTGGCACCTGATCTTTTCAAGAAATAATATAAGTGGTCCAACTTCGCAAAATGGGGTCATTTAATCAGAAAATCGATCATTCTTCAAATATGACATTTAATCAGAAAATCGATCTAAAAATGAGACATTTGGTGTTTATCGATTTTTCAGGGTCGACGGGTTGTATGAAAAGCGAAGGCTGAGTAATTGAAAATTAGAGGATCGATGGTTGCTACTAATTGCTTGTAACTGGTATTGGTTTCATATCGATGGATGTGGATTCGCATATGAAATCAATTGTGTTCGCATCTATGAAATCAGTTCGCATATGACATCAATTGAGTTCGCATTTGGTTTTGTGGGTCAAAACAGTTCGCATAAGAAGTTCACGATTTGTTTGAGGTTAATTGATTTTGATTTCGCAAGCTTGGAGTCGGAGATCTGGATTGTGTTCGCATCTATGGAATGCGAGGAGAATTTAATGGTGATATTCAGTTCGCATTTGGTGACACAAGTACGTGGTTGATGATTTTTGGTTGGTTCGCATTTGAAATCAGTGGGTTTCGCATTTGGGTTCGTATCTGGGTTTCTCAAACAACTGAAATGCGAATATGAGACAACTGATTAATTTCTCAGTTAATGCGATGAAATGCGAATGAACTCAAAGACGGATGGATGCAAGATGCGAAGAATTTGAATGAAAATGCGAAGTTTTTAATGTATAAATGCGAATGAACTCAAAGACGGAAGAAAGTTTTTAATCTTAAATGAAATCATAGTTTCCTAATAAATTAATTAACAAAATACTTAACCCGAAAACAAAATCGAAAACCAAAATATAACCACATAACGTGAACCCACCAAACCAATTACGAATGTCAAGGAAAGACACATGAGAATTAACAAAAAAAAAAAAAAAACTTTCATTCACAAATGGTATAATGCATAAATAAAGCTTATTTTTTTCATTTACATACAAAATATTAAGAACAAAACACTCCCATGTTCTTGTACATGATACATACAAAACAAAGAAGAAACTATTATTCATATGGTACCTTCAAATATAAGAATGATACAATAGTCAAATATGTATATGATAAAATTTGAAACAAATCAATCCAAATTCACAAAATTTTGTCAGTTAAAATTTTTTTGTTGTCTGACAATAAATGAAACCAAAAACTTATGCATTGCAATTTTCAAAAACAAAACTTACAAATGCGTTTACCCCAAACAATAACAAAAACTTACATATTGCAACTTTAAAGAAAAAACTAAACATTCAACTACAAGAGCTCTAAAAACCCAACAAGAAGATCATATTCAGATCTTAAGAAGCTTACCCACGATTTCTTTGAGATGTTGGTTTATATCAATCCATTTCAAGTCCTGTAAACACACATAAACACAAAGTTAGACAACTGGTATTGGTTTCATATCGATGGATGTGGATTCGCATATGAAATCAATTGTGTTCGCATATATGAAATCAGTTCACATATGACATCAATTGAGTTCGCATTTGGTTTTGTGGGTCAAAACAGTTCGCATAAGAAGTTCACGATTTGTTTGAGGTTAATTGATTTTGATTTCGCAAGCTTGGAGTCGGAGATCTGGATTGTGTTCGCATCTATAGAATGCGAGGAGAATTTAATGGTGATATTCAGTTCGCATTTGGTGACACAAGTACGTGGTTGATGATTTTTGGTTGGTTCGCATTTGAAATCAGTGGGTTTCGCATTTGGGTTCGTATCTGGGTTTCTCAAACAACTGAAATGTGAATATGAGACAACTGATTAATTTCTCAGTTAATGCGATGAAATGCGAATGAACTCAAAGACGGATGGATGCAAGATGCGAAGAATTTGAATGAAAATGCGAAGTTTTTAATGTATAAATGCGAATGAACTCAAAGACGGAAGAAAGTTTTTAATCTTAAATGAAATCATAGTTTCCTAATAAATTAATTAACAAAATACTTAACCCGAAAACAAAATCGAAAACCAAAATATAACCACATAACGTGAACCCACCAAACCAATTACGAATGTCAAAGAAAGACACATGAGAATTAACAAAAAAAAAAAAAAAAAACTTTCATTCACAAATGGTATAATGCATAAATAAAGCTTATTTTTTTCATTTACATACAAAATATTAAGAACAAAACACTCCCATGTTCTTGTACATGATACATACAAAACAAAGAAGAAACTATTATTCATATGGTACCTTCAAATATAAGAATGATACAATAGTCAAATATGTATATGATAAAATTTGAAACAAATCAATCCAAATTCACAAAATTTTGTCAGTTAAATTTTTTTGTTGTCTGACAATAAATGAAACCAAAAACTTATGCATTGCAATTTTCAAAAACAAAACTTACAAATGGGTTTACCCCAAACAATAACAAAAACTTACATATTGCAACTTTAAAGAAAAAACTAAACATTCAACTACAAGAGCTCTAAAAACCCAACAAGAAGATCATATTCAGATCTTAAGAAGCTTACCCACGATTTCTTTGAGATGTTGGTTTATATCAATCCATTTCAAGTCCTGTAAACACACATAAACACAAAGTTAGACATACGCATAGATACAGGACGATGGTCAGCAGCACCGGAATTTTAGAAGGATGCATAGAGGAAACTAATATGTGGAAGCTATGAGGTAGCTTTTTGATAGAGAGACAGAAAGGGGAAGTGCAAAGAACGATAACAAAGGTGGTGGGTTTAGCAAGCATTGTTATTTTTCTTGAAAACAAACATTAATTAAATGGATAAGGATTCAACAACTACAGTAAAATGATAGAGTAATAAGATATTTCCTTCATTAACTGGAGTCCATATCAGTACAGATAGTTGAAGATATACCTGAATTGATACAGATAGTTGAGAAATGTCAAAAGGACACAAATACCCTTAGTACCACTTAAACAAGAAAGCTTTACTCTAGATACACTTATACAAGAATATTTAATATACAAATGATTACCCAAAATGTAGACAAACATCAGAACCTGAAATGGAGAGGAAACACCGGAAATTGAGAGTAAACATTGACGATTATGTGATAAATGACTGAAAAGAACACTTTAAAATTGCTAACAAAAACCTGTATTGTTAGAGAACGTTTGTAAATTAATAGTGTTTGCCTCCTGGTTCTGCAATAGAGAGAGAGAGAGAGAGATGGTTGGAGACCTATGACCACAAAAAGAGAAATTCTCAAATTCACAAAATTTTGTCAGTTAAAGAGCACTAACCTTGAAATCGTGTTGGATCCTGGTCCACTGTGACACTTGTGAAAATGGTTGTCTGAGGTTTCTAGAGAGTCGAGTGCGACCAGCTGTGAGTAGTAGATGGTTAGGTCTCCAGGTATGTGTGTAAAATGCGTAACACTTACGACCTCACAGATAAGAAATTTTTTGCAGTCAATTGGTCATATAAGGGGATGGGGCAGAGATATGAAGAAAAAGATTCGTTCTAGACTTGACCGGTGCAATCGATCAAAATCAAATAATTAGAGAATAGAACAGTAGCATATGCTAGATGTCGAGAGATGGGGGTTGTGAACGGTGGTAAGATGAAGTGCGATGATGATGAAGGTGGCCTGTTTGATGGTAGTGAAGGTTATGTGACAACAAAGTTTACTGATGGTGTTGTGATGTTCGATATTCGGGTTTCTAAAGGAGATATGCAAGAGAAGAGAAAGGCAGAGGTGTTTAGCAGCGACTGTAATGGTCTCAGTGGTCAAGGTGTGGTGGGTAACTGCGTCGAATATGGGAGGAATTTTAGAGTATTTAATAGAGAGGGAGAGAGTTCAAGGAGAGAAGAGATGGCGACTCATCTAGGGTTATTCTACAAGGAAGGGCTATAGATACTAAGATAAGAGATGATATATAAAGTTTATCTATAGACCGATTCAATTGGCAAAATCTGAGGAAGACGGGTTCTTCTTTGACCAGTTCAATTTGAAGAAGAAAGCCAAAGCCTATTCAATATGTACGTAATTCATGTTAACGCGTAAGATTTGGTATTTTTCTATGCATAAACTCATTGTAAATAGCGTAATAAGGGTTATACCTCTTAAAATTTAATATTATTTTATTAATGATTACTTGTACTAACAGCTTAATGGTTTGGACGTCTTAAAAAATATTATTATTATATTGAATCTATTTATGGAAATAGTTGGATTTCTATTATAAAGTAGTATATATATATATATATATATATATATATATATATATATATATATATATATATATATAGAGAGAGAGAGAGAGAGAGAGAGAGAAGGTTCATCAGAGATGGTGATGGACGCAGAGAGGGTTCATCGGGGAGATTATCCACTTGTGGTAGCTTTAGGATGAATGGTTGTAGAGTTTTTTGAAAACTTTAGAGAAGAAATATAGTAACGGAATGGTAGGATAGGTGGGGAGGTTGGGTTGGATTTGAAGTATGACCATATATTTTTTTTTCTTTTTACTTTTAATTAATAATAATAACTATCACATAAAATTAATTAGAAAAGAAATACATAAAGGGTATTATGGTCATTTCAAATATGGCACGGACTAAAATCGCATATCAGAGACGAAGCATGCACATTTAAAACAAATGAGGGACGGTTCAAGTTAATTTTTGAAAATAAAGACTAAACATGCTTTTTGGCACTTAAGCGATGAACCATTGGTGTAATTTACCCTTAAGAAAACATAACCACAACATAAATTTTGGTTTTGGTGTTCAAAAGTTCAAGATCAATCCAAATAATAATAAAAAACAAATAATAATACCAAAAAGAAATATAGTTCAAACATCAAACAACAATTGTCATAAGTTTACATTGAATCTAAACATATAATGATCGAAACAAATCACAAATACTGGCACCTCAATGCTTTGTGAGCTTATTCTTGAAAAGTGTTTTTTGTTAACCGTGGCTTATTGTAAAACTGGATTGTTTAGTTTGAATCATAATTAAAAAAAAAACTTGCTTTTAGTTGACATGATCTCTGCACAAATTCATTATTCAACTCGACAGATCATCCCGTTGTTTTAAACATTGGATTCTTCGATGCTCATTTGAGCCGACTTCACACTCCATGCATTCATCTCAGAGATGATGACACTCTTTGTTCCGTAGTTGAAAGCGAAAAGTTTGGCGTCTTTCCCAATGGCTAAAGTCGGGTAAACCTTAGCTGTTATACAACTCTTTCCTCCTCCCCCAAAACTCTCAACGATTGAGTGATCTATCTGTAGAAATCCAAGATCAAACAAATTAATGACATTACATCTCACTATATATATATATATATATATATATATATATATATATATATATATATATAATATATATATATATATATATATATATATATATATATATATATATATATATATATAACAAAAATAAAAGAAATAGATTTACGAACCAAGGTTCTGAGTGAAATTTCTTCTTGTTGTGGATCTATGTCCAGAAATGCTCCATAAAAAGTTTTATCACTTCCTTCCTTTTTAGATGACCTGAAATAATTCGTAGGTTTTAGTTTGGAGATGATAATTAGTTGGTTAACATTTGATTAAATTTGTACATATCTGAATCGTAGAAAACTTACTGGCTTTGATCACTACACATTACCACCACGAATCGTCCGTTCTTTTGGAAAATCCTAAAATAAATTGCAGTTTGTTCGGTCAAGTCGTTTGAAGCCAAAGCTAA